AGAAACCAAGGAGAGCCTCAGAAAACTGGAAATCTGCTGAGATGAAATACCCAATAACTGCCATGAATGGTTTTTGATCTGGGCTTGTCCAGCAGTCAAGGGCAATTGAAATCTTACTATCAGAAGGAAGGGTGTCCATTGTATTTTGTTGAGAAGTATGAGCAAGCTGCATTAGCAGATCTTTCACGCCATTTCGATTGGGAAAATGCAGCCTTGTATTCGGACCAGCAGCAAGATTCAGAAGACGTCGAAATTGTACATTTTCAATGAGTCGGAATGGGAGACGGTTACCAACAATACAATGAACCACCTGTTCCTGAAATGCCTCACGAGAATAGGTCTGCGCTGGCGTATTTATCTGGGAAATTCAAAAATTCCTGAATTAGTACAATTATTTGCATAGCAGCGTATTGGAGTAGACTCGACACTTACTGATCCTTTTCCAAGAAAGTCTTTGATTGAAGCATGACATTTTTGAGGATTCTGGTATGTACATTGCCTGGTATTTGGGTGTCTGATCATTGTTTTGGTCCCATTGCCTCTACCTGGATGATCAATAAAGGTCTCACAATGAATACAGCGAGCATGTGGAGTGCCATCATCAAGGCGTGCCACCTCGATGAAGTGTAGCCAACCCTGAGACTGTTTTGATCCTCCCCATCGCATGTCTTTACCTCTCTTTTCAAGCTTTCCAGCTGCTGCAGTTGTCCTCCACCAACGCATGAACTCATCTCGTTTCTGTGTGAACTCGGATTCAGTTGTAATGTTCTTGCGTTCTGGATATATGGCACATTTGTTTGTCCCATGTCTATTCGAAATGATATCCAGGTCAAAGTCATGGGTTGGGTTGCTGTCCCGGTCCGCAGAGGAAGGTGGCAAAGGTGCATTTGAAAAAGGATCTATTGGCAAGGTTCGCTGGCTCTCTGGAAAAGGGGAAGACTCTAAGCCAGAATAGAGAACTGTATCACTGAATGAGGATTGTAGTGCAGGTGCAGGTGAGGGATGGGAAACATAAGGGGTATTTGTTGGAGAATCCATCATAGATAACATTCATATAAACATGTTCAGAAGTCCGTGATTATTTGACAAAAGAAACTGAGAAAGATGACAAGAAGAAAGAGAACAGCGACATAAAACCTATTCAGAGCGGAATCCTGAAACCGACGCCAAACTTTTCTGTAAATCTAACCATGGTTTGAACTTTCACATTCATCATCAGTTGCCTCTCCGTTCTCTTCCGGTTCCAAACCCTCTCCTGGATCCACATTCTCCGTCTCATTTCGCTTACGCTTTTGTCTCTCTGACTGTTTGATCACACTATTCTTCTGGATAGATCGGTTGTGCTCCTTGATCTTCGCTTGGATCTCCTCTGCCTGGCTCGTGAACATTTTCGGTCGACATTTTAGAAAACCTGGAGTCTCCTTGGTAGTGACTGTAGTCGGCTCTAAACGATTCAAGGAAAAGGCACTCAAATCTTCAGAAAAATTGTCAATGGCATGTGTATAGCCATACCTCTCGAGCACTCGCGCCTGGTCCTTGAGAACAGTCACAGCCGCCTCATATTCTGCCTAATGAAACTAGTGAGTTTCTAACCGTGGTTGAAAGTGTGAGGGGCACTTACCTCACATTCAATCAGATTCTCTGGTCGCTTCTTCCCGCCCTTGAGCCCCCAATTGATCGTTTCCACCATCTTGCTTTTGAGGGATCGGTAGTGCCAGAGCGCACCAAAAATCTCACCCTGCTGGATCAAGTTCTCTTCCTCATCCTTGTTGAGCATTGAGGGAGTTCGACGAACTGCTTGGTTCTGTTTAAGCGTACGGCCAATCATAGGGCCCCATGGTGAGTATGGCATCTGATTGGAGACCTGAAATATGTTAATCTCACCATGGTAAGAAAAGCAGAGTCAGGGGACCTACCAAAAAACCCAAGTCATTATACGCGCTCATCACATTGGTCAGAACAGGACCAGCAGACTTGACAAC